CTTAAAACAGTTCTGACACACAGTAGATAATTAAGAGATACATGGTAAAGTAGATAGTTAATAGTTGAATGAATGCCAAAAGCCTTCTTAGGTAAGCTTTCTCTAACTGACGCATGATGTAATTTTTCTTCTGATGTTTTTCTTCTCTTATAACCTTGTTGAGCAATTAAACTGAATTTGTTTCTTCAAGGACTTGGGACTCTTTTTCTACCTCATTTGGTTTTTAAGTGACTTTCTTTACAAGCCATACTCATCTTTATGGAATATGTTTTGCCTCTTCAAACTCACTAAATGGTTACCCCTCTCAGAAGTGTTTATTGAACTCTAGGCACTGTGCTATGGCCTGAGAAGAAACAAAAACAACTAAAGACACCAACTTTCCTGACATTAGGGAACTCTGGCTCCTCATTCCTTTGGAATTCTACTTGTAGCAGCTCCCATGTAGTGTATCAGCCATGAAAGGAAAGCCCTCTGGAAGGGAGTTAGGCCATGAATGGTTCCAGTGATGCAGTGTGGTTTGTTCTCTACTAAATTGGGATATGTTAGATGGGAGAGTATGCTATGAGGAAAGCAACATGAATCTGGGTCCTACCCCTGCTCCCCATTGGCCTTTGGAGTTTAGCCTTTAGCATTACCTGAGCCTCTGCTTCTTTTTGTTTTTGCTTTTGCTTTTGCTTTTGCTTTGCTTTCCTCCGCTGGAGATCAAATCCAAGGCCTCAAGATCAAATCCAAGGCCTCGAGCACTCTACCATTAACGATACAGGGAGCCTTAGGTTCTTCATCTCTGTAATGGGCACAGAGATTCTCTCTCAGCTCTCTACCCCACAGTTATTATGAGGATCAAAAGTGGTTGGGTTCATTTAGGACAAAGTTGTCATATAGAGTCCCTGTTTGAGGATGAGGTGGAGTCTGAGCACAAAACCAGTTAATGTTTCACTCATTTAAAAAAGAAGAAACCACAAAAAACATGGGAAAACCTCATGTGTGACCCTACCTTCACCTTCCAAGGCTTGACAGTTTTAACCATCCCAAGGTGCTCAGATTTTCTCCTGTATTTAGACATGATTCATGAGTCATGTCTCTCTGGATTGCCTTCCTGGCTCTGTAGAATTTCCCTTTGGACATTGTCTGTGGGTACCTCAGAGCCATGCTCTTCGCTTACTTTTTTTTTTTTTTTTGGTACCAGGGATTGAACTCAGGGACACTCAACCACACTGAGCCACATCCCCAGCCCTTTTTTGTATTTTTTATTTACAGACAAGTTCTCACTGAGTTGCTTAGTGCCTCACTGATGCTGAGGCTAGCTTTGAACTTGCAGTCCTCCTGTCTCAGCCTCCTGAGCTGCTGGGATTACAGGCATGCACCACCGCTCCCAGCTTCACTTACCTATAACAGGGACCAGGCAGTTGTGGTGGGTAGGATTAGGCATTTCAGTTTTATGGGGTTTTCTGTTTCTTTCTTTCTTTCTTTCTCTCTCTGTTTTTCAATTTCTCTCTCTCTCCCCCTTTCCCTCTCCCTCCTTCTGTCTCTCTCTCTCTCTCTCACACACACACACACACACACACACACGCACACTCGTGCTTACCCCCTCCCTCCCTCCCTCTGCCTTTTCCCTTCCTTACATTGTTGTTGGGTTTTTTGTTTGTTTGTTTGTTTTTCTTTTTTTTTTTTTTTTTTTTTTGCACTACCCATGATTGGACCCAGGAGTGACTCCTCAGTCCTGTTCATTTTTTATTCTAAGACAGAGTTTTGCTAAGGTACTGAGGTCGAGCTCAAACTTGCAATCCTCCTGCCTCAGCTGAGATTTCAGGCATATGCTCCTAACTGGGCAGATAGATTTTATTCTTTTCTCTTTTTGTTTTTGTTTTTTTTTTTGGCACTAGGATTTGAACTCTGCCTTGAACATGCTAAGCACACATCTACCACTGAGCTACACCTGCAGCTTTTTATTCTTTTGTTTCTTTAAATAAATAATGTGTTAGGAGACTTGCTGATTAGGGTCATTTCCTTCATTAGAGGTGGATAATTTTGGAAAAGAAAATAAATGATGCTGTGCTTTCTTTCTATATAGTGTTGGGACTCAGAATCGGCATCTTGATATTTTGTTTTGCATATTTGGTGTGGGCAACAATCTTTGGCCTAAGAGCTAAAGTAAAAAGTAGATGGACAATGGAGAAAAAAATAACCTCTTCAACAAATGGTGCTGGAAAAGCTGGAAATGCATATGTAGCAGAATGAAATTTAATCCCTATCTCTCACTCTGCATAAAACTCAAAGTGGATAAAGGACCTAGACATTAGACCCGAGACCCTGCACCTACTAGAAGAAAATGTAGGCCCAGCTCCCCATCATGTTGGCTTCAAAACTAACTTCCTCAACAAGACTCTTAATGCAAAGAAGTAAAATTAAGAATCAATAAATGGGATGGTAACAAACTAAAAGCTTCTTCACAACAAAGGAAACAATCAAGAATGTGAAGAGAGAGCCTACAGAATGGGAGAAAAATCTTTGCCACCTGCACCTCAGAGCATTAATTTCCAGGATATATAAAGGACATAGAAAACTTAACACCAAAAAACAAATAACCCAGTCAACAAATGGGCAAAGGAGCTAAACAGGTACTTTACAGAAGAAATACAGTCAATTAACAAATATATGAAAAAATGTTCAACATCTCTAGCAATTAGAGAAATGCAAATTAAAACTACACTGAGATTCTATCTCACTCCAAGAATGGCAATTATCAAGGATACAAGGAACAACAGGTGTTGGCAAGGATGTGGGGGAAAAGGTACACTCGTGCATTGCTGGTGGCACTGCACATTGATGCAACCCCTGTGGAAAGCAGTACAGAGATTACACAGAAAACTTAGAATGGAACCACCATTTGACCCAGTTATCCCACTCCTTGGTATATATCCAAAGGACTTAAAAATCGACATACTGCAGTGACACTGCCACATCAGTGTTTATAGCAGCTCAATCTTCAATAGCTAAACCATGGATCCAACATGGGGGTGTCCTTCAACAGATGAATGGATGAAAAAAATTTGGTATATATACACAATGGAAGATTACTCAGCCAAAAAGAATAATGAAATTATGGCATTTTCTGGTAAATGGATGGAACTAGAGACTATTAAGCTAAGTGAAATAAGCCAATCCCCAAAAAACCAAAGGCCAAATGTTCAGATATGTGGATGCTAACACACAATAAGGGAGAAGAGATGAGGGAAGAATAGAAATTTATTGGATTAGACAAAGGGGAATGAAGGGAAGGGAAGGGGGATAGGAATAGGAAAGACAGTAGAATGAATTGGACCTAACTTTCCTTTGTTCATACATGAATACACAACCAGTGAAACTCTATAGTATATATAGTCATAAGATCCTAATTAGAATACATTATACTCCATGTATATATAATATGTCAAAACACTCTATTGTCATATATATCTAAAAAGACCAAATTTTTAAAAGAGTGAAAAAAATTAGATGATAACACACTGAGCCTCTGAGTCATTCATCTAGGCCAAGTCATGTTTTCTATGAGTAAGTGCCATCCCTGAATCCCAGAGAATAGAAATGACTTGCTCCAATCACTGGCTTCTAGATGTAGGCCTGGAACCAGTATCAGAGTTCCTGTACTGACTGTCCTTTTTGACCTTGAGGTTCACAATCATAGAACATGTTCACACTTCTCAACTCTGAACACATGTCAAAAGAGAACTGAAATGGCTTTTCTCGTCATCGACTGTTTGGCTTTGAACTTTGAGAGTGAGGCTTCATTCTCAAAAGTCAAATTGGAACAGAGCTGTCTGAACCATGTCTTAAAGACATCTCAGGTTGTTGGGGTTCTTCCTGTACAAGCAGAGCCAGCTTGAGAAACATTATCTTGGGCTTAGGCTGTAAGAAAATTGTAAAGCTTCCAAGAAGCCCTTAAAATATGTTTTTCTAAAACTTCCTTTTTAAGTAGTGTGTGTGTGTGTGTGTATTAAACACAGCATGGGTCAACTTTTTTTTTCACTCTTTATTGTTTTTAATTTTACAAGTTAGATTTTGACCTGGGAGCCAAAGCTGCTCTGATAGATTGAACTCTATTTATTTACAGTGCTGGGAATTGACTAGGACCTCACACATGCTAGGCAAGCATTCTTTCACCAAGCTACAGCCCCTGACCCATTTAAACTATTTATTAGTATAACAATTTCAGTTGCCTTATGCAAGTAGCTTGGTTGTATTTTCTTAAGTTTAAAAAAGAAGTGGTCTAGGAGCTGGGTTGTGGCTCAGTGGTAGAGCATGTGTAAGGCACTGGGTTTGATTCTCAGCACATCATATAAATAAATGAATAAAATAAAAGTCCATCAACAACTGAAAAATATTTTTTTTTTTAAAAAAAGAAGTAGTCTAATGGTCAAATTCACCAACCAAACCTGGCAAGTGATTATTTAATAGTCTTCTTATTACCCAGAATTTTGGGAATGCCAATTTTATAATTGCCTCCATACTATTTCTTAGGTCAAACAAGAAAATCTACGTCATTGCTGCTGCTTTATTTACTTATTTATTTATTTATATTTTTATTTATTTATTTTTATATATAGGGGGCAGATACTGGGACTTGAACTCAGGAGCACTCTACCTCTGAGCTGTATCCTCAGTTCTTTTTATTTTATTTTTGAGACAGGGTCTTGCTAAGTTGCCAAAGCTGGCCTGGAACTTGGGATCCTTCTGCCTCAGCTTCCTGAGTCTCTAGAATTTCAGGTGTGTGCCACCATGCGAAACTTCTTTGTTTTAGTTTAGTCATGCTTTATGTTTATATGGAAATAGATGTTGTGTGGCTTTTGGCTCTTGACAAAAAACAAATAGCATTTTCTTGTGTGTGTGTGTGTGTGTGTGTGTGTGTGGTACTGAGGCTTGAACCCAGAAGTGCTCTGCCACTGAACTACATTCTCATCCTTTTTTAAATTTTTTTATTTTGACACAGGGTCTTACTGTGCTGGTGAGACTGGCCTTGAACTTGCAATCCTCCTACCATAGTCTCCTGAGTCACTGGGATTACATGTGTTCAGCCAGACACTATAACATTCAGCAGCTAAAGCCTGGTGTTTCAGATGGTTAATAATGAAACAGAATATCTGTACAGTTGAGTAAACTGCAGGTCACACCTACTTACTGTGTGACTTTCGGTAAGTTACTTCACTTCTCTGAACCTAATTTTCTTTTTCTGAATTGTTTTTTCTTTTTATTGTGGTAATAAGGATTAAGCCCAGGGCTTTATGCATGCTAGGCAAGTGCTCTGCCACTAAAAGACTTGCCTGGCCCTTTAAAAACAAAATCATTTGGGGACAAAAAGTCTCACTAAATTGCCTGGTCTGTTCTTGAATGATCCTCCTTCCTCAGCCTCCTGAATAGCTGACAGTACAGATGTGTACTACTTTACTAAGTGCTTTCATTTTCTTAATCTGTAGAAAATATTTAATATATATTTTATATTGATTCCATGATATGTGTTTGATGAAATGATATACTGTATTTGTCTGACAGTAAATATATCTTCAATGGCATAAAGTCTAATTTTTTGGGGCCAAGCAATATCACCTTTTAAATTTAGAGAAATTTATGTATTTTAAATTCACTCTTAGTATATAGTTCTATGAGTTTGACAGATTTAATAAAATCATATACTGATGAAAAAAATACATCAAAATGCAGAATATCTCCATCACCACTTAGAATACTCTCCTGGTGCCTCTTTTTATCTAATCCCTCTCTGATCCCCTAAAAACTACAGATCTGCTCTCTGTCCCTCTCATTTTATATTTTCCAGCATATACGTGGAACTATACAGTGTGTAGCCCTTTGAGTGTGGCTTTCACTCAGCTAATACATTTGAGATTCATCCAAATTGTGCGTGTATCAGTGGTTCATTACTTTTTATTACCCAGTCGTGTTCCATTGTGTGACTCCACTGCAGATTATCCCTTCACCAGATCATTTGTATTCAGGTTTTGGCAACTATGAATAAAGCTGCTTTAAACTTGGACATACTTTTTTATCAACAAACTTTTTTATGAGCATGAGTTTTCATTTCTTTTGTGTAAACTCCTAAAAGTGGGAATGGTAGGCCAAATGTTAAATGTTAAAAACAGTTTTCTAAAGTGGTATATCATTTAGTATTCCTACCAGCAATACATAAGAATTTCAGTTGCTCCACATCTTTGTCAGCACTTGCTATGATCAGTCATTTAATCATTCATTTAGGTGTGTAGTACTTTTAATTTGCTGTTTCTCTAATGACTAATGATGTTGAGCATCGTTTTATGTGCTCATTCACCTTCATCTGTTTGATGAAGTATCTGTTCAAATCTTTTGTCCTTTAACTCATAGGGTTGTTAGTTTTCTTGATCTTGAGTTTTGAGGGTTCTTTGTATATTCTGGATCCAAGTCCTTTGCCAGATAATGTGATTTACAACTGCTTTCTCCCAAGTCATAGCTTGTTTTTTCAAAGATTTCACAGACATTTGTGAATATTTGTTATTGATGTAAAAGATTCAAATGACAGGTGTAATTAGAGGTGGAAGCAAAGTTTTCTTTTACTTGCTACCCTCTCCAGCTTCATTCCTGGAGATAGCCACTGTTGACATTTTGCTGAGAATCATTGCAGTTCTTTTTATGGCATAATTTTCTAGTAAATATGTATGTTTTGTGAATGGCATTTAAAGTACTATTGTGTGTATTTTAAAATTAATTCTGTTACCTTTTTGTGAGTAAATTGCATTTCAAAGAATGTTTCTCTTTTCATTTACAGGTAGAGTCATTGTTATTCTGTTAAAATGGTGAGTTTTGATGTCTTATGTCATATTCTAGAAAGCCATGATTTGGGGAAGAATAATTCTGATAGATAAAGATGAATTATAAGTGGACTAAATTTAAATAGGTCATTTTAAATTTGCTAAAGATTGTTCTAATTAGTTGAAATAACTTTGAATTTGTCTATTTTCTTAAAATAAGTAGCAGATTACTTTGCCAAAAGACTCATTGTGGAAATAACGGTATTAATAACCTCAGAGTAAAGTTGTGATTCATTCCCAAGTTTTAAATTGTTCATTTTGTCTTTGATTGATTCTTTTGTGCCATTTGAAATACTCAGCCTAGAATTGGCACTTGGTTCCAATTTATCATTTTAGTTTGAATTGGAGTTTTTTCATCCATACCTGTCAGAACTCTTTTGCAGAATGACCTTCATTCAGACAAGCTGTTTTTTGTTTTTGTTTTTTTGTCTTTCCATAGGTATGAATCCTAGGACTCAGAATAAGTTGTAGAAGACAGTTTTTCTACCTCCTCAGATCCAAATAAGAGGGGGCAACTGACTAGTAGGAGGGGGATGCTAGGGTGTATGAGATAGTCAAAGGATGAACGCAAGAGGAAGCCCTATGGTAAGAGATTTCCATAGAGGCTCTCATGTCAGTCTAGAGTTGGTATGAACCCTTAAATGCCTTATGATATCTCTGAAAAAAAAAAATGGAAAGAAATAATAGGCTTTTCCTGGAATCTATTACTCACTTATAATTGAAAATATTTGACTAGTTCGCACTCATTTTGACCATTTTTGTCTCTTTAATACCTGCAAAGTAAGAGAACATCTAAAATATCTACAATCACAAAATAGAAAAAAATCCTGCCACCTGATCAACTTTGTTTCACTTTCTGTGACCAATGGATACATCACTGAGTCTCTTTGTCCTCATTTATGATTAACTTAATCCTTTCACTATTTCTTTAGGACATGGTTAGTGATTTTTAATGGCTCTGTAGACACATTACATATTTTGATTTGAATAATGATTTCAAGTGATAGTGTATATGAATGGCAGTAGGTGTATTTCTTCTTTCCTTTCATATACCTGGAATATATTTTCCAAAGTAAGCAGTAGTAGGCAAATTGATTATTCTCCAGAAGGTAGAGCTATCTGTGAATAGATGACCCTGTTTTTCTATAATTTCAGCACTAGGTCTTATTACCTATTTAGTTTTTCTGAACTAGGAGTTCCTCGGGGGCCTTCTTTTTCAGAACTGGAATGTACTGGGTTTAGACAAGATACCATGTTTTCTTCCTCCCAGTACAGAATATAATTAAATTAAGAATCTGAAGGCTTTCTTATCGTGGGATTTTGGGACCAGACATTTGAGTTCTCTTTGTGCCCAGCAAAAAGAATTTCTCCAGATTTTTATAATATTCAGGAGGCTAATGAGGGCCAGCATTACCTACAAGGACATGAAGATATAGTGGACTTCTGTTTCTAGCTTCCCTGCTATGGCTTTGATCAGGTCTTTTTGTTCTTTCCTTGGGTCAACCAGGAAGCAAAAATAAGTTTAGTTATTCTGTGCTATGTTTTGAATTCCCAAAAGTATTAATGAGTTAACAAGACCTGCGTAGACCATGAAGGTGATCCTAACCCAGTGTTTCTTGGGACAGTTTACTGTGACTTAGAACATACAGGTGTTCCTCATCCCTGTGAGGGTGATGTGAGGGCAAATGAGGCAACAGGGGTAACACCAGGTTGTGAGCTGTAATCACTATACAAATATAAGATGTATGCATGCCTCACTCAGGACTCAGAGGAAAAGGCATGGTGTTCCATATTGCTTCTCTTACAGAGATTTAAAAATAATCTTCATTTAAAGCTATCTATACTTAAAGATTAAAATAATCCTTGCTTAAATAGACAGCAGCCTGAATTAGCCTGTTTTTCATTACTATAATGAAGTACCTGAGGTGGAATAACTTAATGAAGATGTTTATTTAGTAATGATGGTGGAATGTGATGAACATCATTATCCAAAGTATATGTACGAAGACACGAATTGGTGTGAACATACTTTATATACAACCAGAGATATGAAAAATATGCTCTATATGTGTAATATGAATCGTAATGCATTCCGCTGTCATATATTTTTTAAAAATCAATTTTAAAAAAGTTGTTTATTTAGTTCACAGTTTGGAAGGCTGAAATTTCAAGCTGCATGATGCCAGCTCTGATGAATGCCCTCTGGATACATCATATGGTGGTGGGTGGCATAACAATGAAATAACCTGTGAAAGGGATAATCATGTGAAGAGACAAGAACCAGAGCATGGGGAGGGGCCAGAACTACCAAGAGCTGTTGGAGAACTACCTCAGAGTCCCACCTAATCCTTTCTAATCACTTCCCATTAGGAACCTCTTAAAGGTTCCACACTTCTCTCCCCACACTGAGGACCAACCCCCAACACACAAACCCTTGAAGGAAAACTTGCATCCAAATCATAGCACTGCTTTATAACTTTCAGTGATTCTTTTTTTTTTTTTTTATTAGTTTCTCAAGACAGTACAATGATCTTGACATACATTTGTTTCAAATAGGGTATGAATTCTCATTTTTCCATGTGTACAAATTCCAAGATCACATTGGTTATACATCCATGTGTATATATACAGCAATCCTAGTGTCAGTTGTATTCTGCTGCCCTCCCTATCTCCCCCTGATTCTTATTAGGTAAAATTTTGCTCTCTGGGGACTTTATGGCAGTACCTGCAGACATTTCTCTTTTTTGCCACTAGAGGGAGGCACTGGCACTTAGTGAAGAGAAAACAGTGATGATGCTCAATATTGTACAATGTCCAGAACAGCCCTCCACAACCAAGAATTATCTGGTTCTAAATGTTAGCAATCTCCAAGATTCAGAAATGCTATTTAACTGAAGAGCAGACAATTCCAGTCAGACCCATGTGGTTGCTCCTACTCTGGTGATCACTTTTCATTTCTGGATTGTCAAACTCTGTCTCTTAATGCTCCAGTCTCATAATTTTCCTTCCTTGGATTTTCCTCCTGCCTCTTTAGATCTGTTACTTAGTCTTGAAGTTTTGAAAGTATTTCTTATTTCTGGTACTATGTGCTATTTTGCTCTCAAATCAGACTAAGCTTTTTCCCCACCCAACCACTCTGCAGTCCCCTTGAGAGACTCTGGCCTGAGCCTTTCATCTGTTTTCAGAATGTTGATTTGCTTGGACATGTAATCCTTCCTGCCCTACAATAACCTAACTGGCATTGTGACTATAGTTCATGATCAGCAGAAAATGAAAATATCAGCTGTGAATCCTACTTGCATGATGGGATTGGAGAAGCTTGTGCGCTGTTTCTTTCTCTTTCTCCCTCCATCACCATTTTCCTTTTTTCCCTCCCTATCCTGGCAATTTTATCACTTTTTACCATGAATAGTTTTTCCCATTCTTTTCCTGTCTCTTGCCTTCATATCCTAAACTTGCCATGGTGACCACACATACTCCTCCCAACCCAGTTTGCAAGGAAGTTCTGACACTGTCTGCTCCCCCTGTAGTGAGTGTCAGACTTCTGTTTCACAGTTGGAGTGGAATAAAAGTCTCTCAGTGCTCTGACATGCCCCCCTCACCACCAACTACTTTCCTACCCACCAGGACCTGCAGAATGACTACACGGAAGGCTGCTACAGTCTCCTTCTGGAACCAGACATGGGCAGGTTATGTCAAAGTAAAGGCACTCAGCTTTGTTTGACAGGGTTCAGGGCACATCCAAACATATGTATTTGAATACCAGAGTTTCAAACCTGTGTCCTCCTTTTACATTTGGGAACTTTCATGATATAAGAACTGTTCATTTCTTTCAAGTCAGTTTCTCCTCATGTTTCCTATTGCATTTATTTTAGGCACACTTAATCTTTTCTAAGATTATTCTTTTGGGCATAGAAATATTATCTGCCTTCTATTTCCAGCCCTTTGATCTGATTGTTTGTCCCAAGGCTGATTTACAAATTGTTAATTTTATGAATTGCCATAGAATGATTATCCAGTATGAAGCAAAGGAGAAGACAGCAGAATGGACTCTCAAGTGTTACTGCCCCAGGCCAAGCACATTCATGTGTGCTTTCATTTGTTTTTTCAGGAGAGATGAAGACGGTGTGAGTCAATGACTGCCCAGCAAATGTGTGAAGTGTTCATTTGCCAGTGCCTCCTGTAGAGTTACCCAATCATAGTGCAGCCCAAAGCACAGAAACCCAACCTGACTATCCCACCCCACTGAGCAGTAGCCCACTCTATAGTGGAGGTGAGTGCTCTCCTTATATTTATTCTTTTCTCCTAAATTTGTGGGATTGGGTTTCCAAGATGATAGGGAATAGATAAATTTAGGAACAATAATTTTCAAGACAAATTATTTTTGTCAGTTTTATTCATATGAGGAATAAAATCTCTCAAGTACTAATTAAACTTAAACATTCTCTTTAAGTTACAGCTCTCCTTTCAAGGTAGATTCCAAAGTTTAGGAGTAGTATACGTGACTTGTATAGTACCTAGAAGTAGCAGGCAGCAAAGCCAATACTGAGCTGTCAAAAGTATATCATGAATATTCTAAACCAGAAATTGATATTTAATTATTTTTAGTGCAGTACCTATCACACTGTGGTTTCTAGATACTGCCTAAACCTCAATTTTTTTTCCTGTTTGTTTTTTTGTTTGTTTGTTTGTTTTCTATTCTGGGTTTATCTTTCTCTTCTTTGTTATTAAAGCTTGGTGACTTGAAGCAATAATAGGCCATTTGTTAGTGACAGAGGCTAAGAACAAAGGATCAGTAGCACTCTTAACTGAATATGAGCCAGACTATGAAGAGCTTTTCTAAAATAAGTCTAGCAGAGGAAATTAAGTGAGGATCCTAGGAATCAGAAAGCAGTGATCACTTCCTAGATCAGTCAATAAACTTTGTCTCTTACTTCCTCATTGTTGCTAAGGAGACCTCCACTCCCCTAACCACCCAATACAAAAACTCAGATCATTTTGGGCTTCATTAGTGCTGCTCTGATCACTGATCAGAGAAGTGTGACCTTGTTAGTGGGGCCTAGTGGTCATTTTAGGCCCCACTGTTTATAGCTAAAGCTTTGGACTCCCTCTGGATTTTTGTTGAAAGCTCCTTCGGACATCTATTGTACATTGTCTTCTATTCATATTTCAGACACGTTAGGCTTTTTGAGTGTCAAGACTATTTTCATCTTTTTATCCTCCACAATGGAAACTGTGTGCATAGAATGCAGCAATGTGGGTCAATAAGTATATGATTTCATTTATGCATTCATACATTTACTATTCATTCAACTGTCTTTGAAGCTCCTACTCAGAGGGGGGATTTATAGCCCAATGAGGAAAAATAACTTAGTCAAGCTATGAAAAAAATTACATGTTGTGATATTCAAGAGTCTGTGAAACTTTAATTATCATCTGGTCTGGTCTGGAAAGTCAGGGACAGCTTTGTGGAGGAGGTGATGTTTGTAGACCTGAAGTATTGCAAAGGTTATTAGGAGAAACAGGTTGGGAGAGGAGGGTAGGAATTGAAGGGAAGAACATGAAGGCAGAAGGATCGGTATGTGCAAAGGCCCTGTTATGGGAGGCATTTTGACACTGGGAACCAAAAAGAAGGCTAGTGTGACGGAGCACAGGAGTGAGCTAGAGTACAGTCAAAAGTGTTAGGAGACTTAGGCCTCACCAGACTCTGAAAGGATTTTGTTCTCTAACCCAAGAACATGGAATGAACTCACCTGTGTTATGGCCCTATTGAGTCTGCCTATCAGCTGCTTTCTGGAATAGGTGGTCTATGTCCCCCATGGGTCTGTAATTACTCTTGTGTCCAGTGCTGATTCTCACTGATTCTTGAACCTTATGTCAAGTCTAGTTGACTAGAGGCAACTTGCCTGACTATACCCTTTCTGTTTATTTTCTCCTTAAATAAATGTAATCTCTCCTATTTCTGTAATAACAGAAATGGTGCCGTTATTATTATAATTTCTGGAAAAGTTGTCATCATAACTAAGTTTGGGCTGCTCACTTGTCACAGACTCCCCAGTGTGAGCCATGCCCTGTTCCACTAGAGAATAGAACAGCATTGGCCTTTCCCTTTGGGATCAGAGTCTATTGGGAAAGATTGATTTAAACTAATAAATCACAAGTATGTATTTAATCAGATTGTAAAGAGTGCTATGCAGGATAAAAACAAATAACTGAAGCACATCTAATTTATTTTTAATGTTTTTATTAATGCACTATTGTTATATATAATATTGGGGTTCATTTTGACATAAGCAGACATGTATGGAATATAATTTGTTCCACTTTAGGATGTGATATCACTATCTTCCTGGCAGCCCACAGGGTGTTTCTAGCATGAACACAGGAATTCCTAGATGGGGCATGTTCTCTTTCTAGTTGCAAAAACTGAGACTAGGAGAGGTTTGGTCCTTGAGATCATGCAGCTGCCAAAAGAAAGAGTTGAGGTCTAACTTTGAGTGACCTGAGTCAAAGTCTTGCCTCTTTCTAGCATGAAGCTGTTCTGCCATTCCCTCTGCATTATTCCTAATGAAGATCCTTTCAGCTTCTGCCATTATCATCTCCTCACCACTCCTGTGCTGCCTGCCACTATGTGACTGTCTCAGAGCTGAACAGTTCATTCATAGCACTGAATATCATTTTGAATTCAAGAGTATTGCCTTAGCTTTATGTCCTTTGCAGCACAATTTTTACTCTCTCGAATTCTTGTCTTTTTGATTCTTAATTATTTTCCTCTTTCCTGCATTCAATTCAACCTTGCACAGGCTAGCAAGCATTCTACCTCTGAGCTACAGCCTCAGCCCTCAGTTAATATATTTTGAATAACTGCTATGGGCATAGCATTTTACCAGGTGCAACTGAAAATATATGAACAAAATTCAGCCCTGGCCTCCTGGAACTTTTATTTTTTAATTTTAAGAAAACTTTATGTATACATGAGATGGGATTTCACATGTTGCCCTTGTACCAATCTCCCCTTATACCCGTCTACTACACTTGTTTCACTTGTCTATTAATTTGTACTTGATTGGTTCTTTATGTCATCTTATCCTTCCCTCCCCCCCTTTTTTAATTCTAACTTCCCCATATGAGAGAAAACATTCAACCTTTGAGTTTCTGAGTTTGGCTAATTTCAGCTAGCATAATATTTCCATTTCCATCCATATACCAGCAAATGCCGTAATTTCATTTTTTTAATGGCTGAGTATAACTCCACTGTATACATATATCACAATTTTTCAATCCATTCATCTGTTGACAGACATGTGGGTTGCTTCCATAATTTAGCTATTGTGAATTGTGCTGCTATAAACATTGATGTGGCTATGTTGCTATAGTATGACAATTCTGGATCTTTGGGGAAAATACCCAGGAGTGGGATAGGGTTCCATCCCTAATTTGTTGAGGACTCTCCAAACTTATTTCCAGAGTGGTTGTACTAGCCTGCAGTACAAATGTGGTTGTACTAGCCCCCAACAATGTACAAATGTTTCCAGTCTCTCTTAACCTGTTAATACTTACTCCAGAATGTTCTTCCTCAAAGGATGAGGCATCAGGCTACTCAATGTGGCATGTAAAATCTAGGTGCTGTCAGCACCACTAGGGTCTAGTCTGCTGCTGTTTGGTTTGATAACAGAAAAATATGCTAACTTCTAGACTTTTTAACCAAGACTAGATTCTTCTATAAAACTTCCCCTCAAAAGAAAGCATTGCCTCTTCTGTTTCTCATTTTCTACATCTGTGTGGATGAAAAGCAAATGACTTTTGTAGGAATAAGCCTCAGCCAGATGGAGAAAGACTTACTATTTTTCCTTTTAAGCCTTGTGTCTCAAAACCACCCTGAGGATGAGGAGGACCGTGGTGGAGTATGGGCAGTACTCTTGACACAGTGACACTAAAGGACAAGAGGATCACAGTGATGCAATACCTTCTCACATGAATCCTTGGATATTTAAGATCCTCCTGTCCTGAATTATGTCTGCTTGCTAATTTGTGAATAGTTCTTAGTTCAAACCCTGAAAGTTTAGCCGTTGTTTTTTTTTCTTCAGAGTGTTTGTTTTGAAACTGCCCTGAGGTTATTTTAAGGTTATGGTTTACCTACTGAATCAAAGAGATTTGATTCAGCTTGTACTGTTTAGCATGATTAATATCAAGTCAATTAAAAATAAAGAACATAAGGGGAGAAGAATGAAAAAAATTAAGATCTGGAAAATTTCCATTACAGTCCCCTGGAATGAGTTGCTTACTATAGTCGAGGGTTGAATGCCAAGGACAGTGCTAAGTGCATAAGACAAAAAAGAGAACTGTAAGGAATGATCTTTTGAATGTCTAGTCATGCCCTGTATTCTTTAGGTACCCTGTGAATCTGTCCGGATCCACTGCACCTATAGCCTGTGCCCTTTGCCCTCATACTCAGAGTTTGTTTCCTATTGGGTTAAATTCTCTCACAAGCAGCTAGAACAGAACAAGTAGCATTACTTGTTCTGCTGGCTATGAGGATTTTAGGTTTGAGAGCAGTTTTTCATCTTTGTTGCTTAGGTATATGCATACGCTATCGTTTCTGCCCTTTTTTTCTGATAACAAGATGATGTCTGTTTTGTTTTCCCCCCAAAAATGTAAGAATTAAAACACAATTGCATAGGTTAATTATAGTGATAAAGTATTTAGGGTGATGATTACACAACAGTGTGGATGTACCTAATGTTACTGACTTATACAATCAAAATTGGTTAAAGCAGTACATTTTGTTATGTATATTTTACTACAATTAAAAAAAAAAAAAACAGCAATGGACTCGGTGATACTGCACCCTATGGTGCAAGTGTCAGTGCAGACTGTGTTCTTAATATTTTCTTGACTATATGACTGGAGCTTTGTGGTGTAATCAGTTTTAATTCTTTTATTTTTATGATGGTGCAAAGCTACAACCTTGCTGGGCCTGGGTGCTCACAAAGTTTCTGATTTATCTGAGATTAAAGCAAAAGCAACCTTCATGGTCTTCCTTCAGACTTATATCTTAAATGAAATCATGAACGTTAGTATCAGATGAAAACACACTCGTGGGGAGGTGGACCCTCATGCACCAACTCCAGAAAGAGTTCACCGTGCTCTGAGTATCTCTATTTTCTTGCCACCACCCTGTGTTTTCCTTTGCCTCTGCAGCTTCATTGAGTCTCTGAAATTCTGGAGGTCCTGCTTCCTGCTGCTGCCGCCAAGCACCTCACAAAGGAGGAG